CCTGTCTGTTTCCTAAGGAGACATCTTCTCCTGCAGCCTTCTCTGAAATGTGATGTTACTCAGAATTGTATCCTGGGTCCTTAAGAATATTTCTCATTGTAGGCCGGGTGCAGTGGCTCACGCCTGTAATCCCAGCACTTTGGGAGGCCGAGGTGGCCTGATTACCTGAGGTTAGGAGTTTGAGACCAGCCTGACAAACATGGAGAAACCCCGTCTCTACTAAAAATACAAAAATTAGCGGGCGTGGTGGTGCATGCCTGTAATCCCAGCTACTTGGGAGGTTGAGGCAGGTGAATCACTTGAACCCAGGAGGCAGAGGTTGTGGTGAGCTGAGATTGTGCCATTGCACTCCAGCCTGGGCAACAAGAGTGAAACTCCATCTCAAAAAAAAAAAAAAAAAAAAAGAATATTTCTCATTGTAAAATATAACATGCATACATACATACATATATATATACACAGAAAAGTGCTTAAAACAAATGTATAGTTTGTACACTTGCAAAATTAGTTACAAGTGAACACCAGTGTGACTACCATGAAGGTCAGAAAGTAGAACTTTGCCAGCACCCTGAAATCGTCCATGTGTCCTTATCAATTACAATTTATCCTTAGAAGTAGCCAATCTCTTAACTTTTACGATAATATCTTGCTTGCTTTTCTTTTCTCTCCCTCTGTCTCTGTCTCTCTCTTTTTTTTTCTCTGAGTCGGGACCTCACTCTGTCACCCAGGGTGGAGTGCAGTGGTGTGATCAAGGCTCACTGCAGCCTCTACCTCCTGGGCTTAAGCAATCCTCCGGCTTCAGCCTCCCCAGTAGCTGGGACAACAGACACATGCCACCATGCACAGATAATTTTTTTTTAATTGAGACAGAGTCTTGCTCTGTCACCCAGGCTGGAGTGCAGTGGTGCCATCTTGGCTTACTGCAACTCCCACCTCCCAGGTTCAAGCAATTCTCCTGCCTCAGCCTCCTGAGTAGCTGGGGGTACAGGCATGTGCCGCCACACCCAGCTAATTTAAAAAATATTTTTAGTAAGGGCGGGGTTTCACCATGTTGGCCAGGCTGTTCTCCAACTCCTGACCTCGTGATCCACCCGCCTTGGCCTCTCAAAGAGTTGGGATTACAGGTGTGAGCCACCGTGCCCGGCCTTTTTTTTTTTTTTTAAAAACTTTTTGTAGAGAAGGGGTCTCACCATGTTGCCCAGGCTGGTCTCAAACTCCTGGGCTCAAGTTGTTACCTGTGGAGGGTGTCCAGGTTCTTAGCATTTTGAACAAAGAATTGGACAAAACACAAACAAAGCAAGGAAAGAACGAAGCAACAAAAACAGGGGATTTATTGGAAACAAAAGTACACTCCACAGGGTGGCAGTGGGCCTGAGCAACCGCTCAAGGGCCCTGGATACAGAATCTTCTGGAGTCCAAATACCCCCTAGAGGTTTCCCATTGGCCACTTGTTGTTCACCCCATGTAAATGAAGTGGTGGCCTGCAATCAGAGACTGATGTGAAGTTACAAAGTTGAACGTCTATGCAAATGAAGACTTGGTCCACAATCAGTCTGATTGGCTGTGGACAGCAACCAATCAGAGGCTGAAGTAAAGTTACAAAGTCATACTCCTATGCAAACGTCTGATTGGTTGCAAAAAGCAACTAATCAGAGGTACTTTCAATTTTCCATCTGCAGAAAAGGTGGAGGTTTGCAAAGGGTATAGCCAGGTGTGGAAAGTTAGGGTTTTCCTTTCAATTTAGTTCTAGGAAGTCAGCGTGAAACAGCCTTAGGTTCCCTGCCTCCAGACCCTATTCTGCCTCAAAGTGATCCTCCTGCTTTGGCCTCCCAAAGTGCTGGGATTACAAGTGTGAGCCACAGTGCCCAGCCTTGCTTTTCTTTAGTTTTATCATCTACATGTGCATTCACTTTTTAAAATGTATTAAATAATGTATTTTTTTGGTAGAGATGGAGGTCTTGCCACATTGCCTGGCTTGGTCTCGAACTCTTGGGCTCAAGTGATCCACCTGCCTCGGCCTCCCAAAGTGCTGGGATTACTGGCAGAGCCACTGCACCCAGCTATATGTGCATTCCTAAACAATAATTTAGTTTTGCTTGTTTTTGAACTTTATGTAAATGGAATCACACTGTATGTATTCCTTTGTGTCTTCTTTCACTCAACTTTGTATTTGCATGATTTATACATGCGTGTGTGTGCTGTAGGTTTTTTTTTTTTTTTTTTTTTTTTGAGACAGAGTTTCACTCTGTCACCTAGGCTGGAGTGCGGTAGCACAGTGTCAGCTCACTGCAACCTCTGCCTCCCAGGTTCAAGAGATTCTCCTGCCTCAGCCTCCTGAGTAGCTGGGACTACAGGTGCCCACCACCATGCCTGGCTAATTTTTGTATTTTTAGTAGAGACGGCGTTTCACCCTGTTGGCCAAGCTAGTCTCGAACTCCTGACCTCGTGATCCGCCCGCCTCAGCCTCCCAAAGTGCTGGGATTACAGGCGTGAGCCACGGAGCCTGGAGCCTGGCCATGGCTATAGTTTAATTGTCATTTCTGTATAGCATTCCACAATTTATTCATTCTGCTCTTGATGGACTTTTGGGTTGTTTCCAATTAGGGCTGTTATGTACAATGATGCTTTGAACCTTTTTCTTTCTTTCTTTCTTTCTTTCTTTCTTTCTTTCTTTCTTTCTCTCTCTCTCTCTCTCTCTCTCTCTCTCTCTCTCTCTTTCTTTCTTTCTTTCTTTCTTTCTTTCTTTCTTTCTTTCTTTCTTTCTTTCTTTCTTTCTTTCTTTCTTTCTGTGATGGAGTCTCGTTCTGTTGTCCAGGCTGGAGTACAGTGGTGCAATATCGGCTCACTGCAACCTCTGCCTCCTGGGTTCAAGCGATTCTCCTGCCTCAGCCTCCTGAATGCTGGGTACAGGCACGTGCCACCACTCCGGTAATCCCAGCCTTTTTTCTTTTTTTTTTTTGTATTTTTAGTAGAGATGGGGTTTCACCATGTTGGCCAGGCTGGTCTCAAACTCATGACCTCAGGTGATCCGCCCACATCAGCCTCCCAAAGTGGTGTGATTATAGGCGTGAGTCACCGCACCTGGCCCATATATCTTTCAGTAAAGCTATGCACACTTTTCTCTAGGATACATACCTAGGAATGGAATTGCTGGGTTCTTGGAGATGTGTATCTTTAACTTTAATAGATAATGACAAATTGTTTTCCCAAGTTGTTGAACCAATCAATAGCCCTATCAGCAGTGTATGAGGATCTCTACTCTTCTACATCTTCCTCAACACTAATTATCATCAGACTTTTAAAAATTTGCCAGTCTGGCATATGTGAAATGGTATGTTGTTGGTGTGTGTCTGTGTATATAACTTTTTTTTTTTTTTGAGACGGAGTTTCACTCTTGTTTCCCAGGCTGGAGTGCAATGGTGCGATCTCGGCTCCCTGCAACCTCTGCCTCCTGGGTTCAAGCAAATCTCCTGTCTCAGCCTCCCAAGTAGCTGGGATTACAGGCATGCGCCACCATGCCCGGCTAATTTTGTATTTTTAGTAGAGATGGGGTTTCTCTATGTTGGTCAGGCTGGTCTCGAACTCCTGACCTCAGGTGATCCACCCACCTTGGTCTCCCAAAGTTCTGGGATTACAGGTGTGAGCCACTGCACCGGGCCATATGTGTGTGTATATTTTACAACTTTATTGATATATAATTGATGTGCAACAAACTGCATATGTTTTAAGTGATGATTTGATTAGTAAACATCCTTGAAACCAGAGCCACAATCAAGATAATGCACATATCTATTACCTCAAAAGGTTTTCTCATGCTCCTTCCTCATGCCCCATTCTCCCTCATTCCTCATTTCCCTGATGGTAGATGAGGTTAAGCACCTTTCCATGTTTATTGGATGTTGGGATTTCTTCTTTTGTGATGAGCTCATATAAGTCTCAACAAAGTTGAACAGTGTAATGAAGTAATCAGATGGGAAAGTTAGAAAGATGTGAGGTTGTGGGGATTGAAGTTAAGATTTCAGTGGTACAGCAGTTCTGGGCCATCGCAAGATCCACTCGAGGCCCTGAGAGTGGGTGACTGGAGCAGAAAGGGAGGCCAACAGAGGTGAGGAGGCCGAAGAAACAAGAAGCATGGGATGTGGGATAGATCTTCCACATGAATGTTGAAGTGATTTGGATTTGGGCAAGACTAGGGGGTGGGCAAAAGGATAGAATGAAGGGAAGTGCCTGAGAGGTACAGCGGTCATGGTCTGGAAGGTGCAGTGGGCAGCAAAGAAGGGGCCTGCTCCACCTCCAGATGCAGAAGTATTTGGAGGAGGGAAAGAATCTCTGAGGAAAGGCCTACAGGAGAAGTGGGGTTCTCCGGAGACAGCTAGGTCTCAGTTAAGGAAGGTGTTTAGGGGAGCTTTCTATTTCTGTTGTTGGGGTATTTAGCAATCCCTGTGCTATGGTTTGGATGTGGTTTATTTGTCTCCATCAAAACTCATGTTGAAATTTGATCTCCAAATATTGGAAGGTGGGTCCTAGTGGGAGGTGTCTGGGTCATGGGGGTGGATCCTTCATGAAAGGCTTGGTGCCAGTCTTGCAGGAGTGAGTGAATTCTCTATCTCACAAGACTGGATTAGTTCTCTCAGGAATGGATCAGTTCCTGCGACAGTGGGTTGTTATAAAGCCGGGATGCCACTCAGGTTTTCCCCTCTTTGCACGTGTCCACTTTCTCTTTGACCTTTTCCACTATGTTGTGATACAGCACAAAAGGCCTTGCCAGAAACCAGGGCCATGCCCTTGAACTTCTCAGCCTACAGAACCACAAGATAAAGAAATCTATTGTCTTTCTAAATTACCCAGTCTCAGGTGTTTTTTTTTTGTTTTTTTTTAGTTTAAATGCATTTTATTTTTAGACAACCTACATGACATGTTTTTCTTAAAAACAATGCCTCCACTCCAAATAAATCAGTCAAAATAATGAAGAGCTCAAGATGACATCAGTCCCATTTGTCTTAAGTCCTGGTGTTGTGTGGATGACAAACAGAAGCCAGTTATGATGACAGGTGATAGATCCAAAGTAATTGCCAAATTTGTTAACATTTTTCCATTTCTAAGCCATCCTTAAAGAAAATCATATATTGGGTCACACCATCCTCATGGTAGTCCACAGAGCAACCATCTGGATTCATGTTTTCTCATAGTTTTTGAAATTAGCAAGGATGTGCTTGATTTGTTCTGCAGCCCCTGTCATAAAAGGTTTTACTCTTTTTGGTCTTTGTTCTTCCAGTTTGCCTTTGATTGATTTCATGTAATCTTTGATGCACTTATTGTAGGCTTCTTTTGTGAAGCTTGTTTCTTGCGGGTGATGATTCATGACAATATTGACACCAGTGATTACTGTGCTTTCGGTACCTTTGCCCCCAGGGCCTTCAGCGGAGGCATTTCTACCAATGAGCAAGTCAAAAATGTAACCTTCTGTCCTACTGACTATCTTCCCCTCCACCTCCAGGCACAGCCCGTCTGTGATCTCCCAGATCTTGTAGCTGTCGAAGAACATCTCATCGTCGTTGATGAGGTCCCAGTAGATAATCATGATGGCGGCTGAAGGGAGACAATGGTGGTGCTAGATTAGCAGGAGCCCAGAGCTCGGAGCGAGCTCAGTGCAGCTGAAGTGGTGCTGGTGGGAGAGGGGGAGTGGACGGAAAAACTCAAGTATTCTTTTATAGCAACACAAAACAGACTAAGACAGGAAATTGATACTGAGAAGTAAAGTGTTAGTGATAAGAAATGCCTGAAAATGTGGAAGCAGCTTTGGAAATGGGTAATGGGCAGAGGTTGGAAGAATTTGGAAGAGCAGGCTAGAAAAAACAAGATTCTGGTGAGGGCTTATTAGACAAGACCACTATGGAAGGTCTGGAACCCTTCAGAGATTGGTTAAATGGTCCCAACCAGAATGCTGATGGAAATATGGACAGTAAAGGCCATTCTGGTGAGGTTCCAGATGGAAATGAGGAACAACGTATTGGAAACTGGAGTAAAGGCCATCCTTGTCTTAAATTGACAAAGAACTTGGATGAACTACATCTATGCCCAAAGGCTCTGTGGAAGGCTTACTACAGAATTGAACTGGCAGGGGCAGGAGATCCCTGCTCCTTCTAAGATGGAATTTAATAGAATACCTGGTGGAAGAAATTTCTAAGCAGCAAAATGTTCAGGCTGCTGCATGGTTACTTCCAACTGCTTATGGTGAATTTCTGGAGAAAAGGGAAACACAGCAGAAAAATTTGGAAAATGCATAGCCTGGCCAAATGGCATAGAAGAAAAGAGCATTTTCAGGACAGGAAACCAAAAGGAGCCAGGTGCTAAAGTCAAGACAATGGGGAAAAAGACCCTGAAGGCATTTCAGAAATCTTCAAGGCTGCTTTTCCCATCATATGCCTGGAGGCCTAGGAGGACAGAATGGTTTCTGGGGTAAGGCCTGAGCACTGCTGCCCCTGCTCCTCCTCAGGACACTGCTCCTCAGATCCCTGCTACATTGTTTCTGAGTCTGGCTGAAGCTCAGTGGCCCCAGGTACTGCTTGGGCCATCACTTCAGAGAGTGCAACCCATAAGCCTTGGTGGCTTCCATGTGGTGTTAAGTCTGTGAGAGCCCAGAATGCAAGAGCCATGGAGACTTGGCAGCTTTCACCTAGATTTCAGAGGATATATCGGAAAGCCTGGGTGCCCAAGCAAAAGCCTGCTGCAGGGGCAGAACCTCCACAGAAAGTGCTCATGAGGCAATGCCTAGTGGACCTATGGGAGTAGGGCTGCCATGGGGACCCCAGAATTATAGACCCACTGGCAATGTGCAACCTCAGCCTGGAAAAGCCACAGGCATTCAACTCCAATCTGTGAGAGCAGCCACATGGGTAGTATTCAGCAAAGCCATGGGGCAGGGCTGCTTGAGGCCTTGGGAGCCCACTCCTTGCACCAGTGTACATCAGAAGTGGTACATGGAGTAAAAGATTAGTTTGGAGCTTTAAGATTTAATATCTGCCCTGCTGGATTTTGAACTTGTATGGGCCTGTTACCCCCCTTTTTGGGTCCGATTTCTCTCTTTTGGAATGGGTGTGTTTGCCCAATGCTTGTACAACCATTGTATCTTGGAGGTAAATAACTTGATTTTTTTGTTGTTGTTGAGATGGAGTCTTGCTCTGTTGCCCAGGCTGGAGTGCAGTGGTGCAATCTTGGCTCACTGCAAGCTCCGCCTCCTGGGTTCATGCCATTCTGCTACCTCAGCCTCCTGAGTAGCTGGGACTACAAGCACCCACCACCACAGCAGGCTAATTTTGTTTTGTATTTTTAGTAGAGACGGGGTTTCACCATGTTAGCCAGGATGGTCTTGATCTCCTGGCTTCGTGATCCATCCGCCTTGGCCTCCCAAAATGCTGGGATTACGGGCGTGAACCACCATGCTTGGCCAATAACTTGATTTTTTATTTTACAGACTTATAGCTGTTAGGAACTTGCCTTGAGTCTCTGATGAGACTGGACTTTTATGTTGGTGCTGGAACAAGTTAAGACTTTTGGGGCTATTGGGATAGAATGATTGTAGGTTGTATGTGAGAAGGACACTAGTTTTGGGGAGCCCAGGGTTGAAATATTATGATTTAGATGTAGTTTGTTTGTCTGCACCAAAACTCATGTTGAAATTTGATCCCCAAATATTGGGAGGTGGGGCTAGTGGGAGGTGTTTGAGTCATGGGAGCAGCTCCATCATGAATGGCTTGGTGCTGATCTGGTGGTAGCAAGTTCTCACTCTGGTGAGACTGGATGAGTTCTCTCAGGAATGAATCCGTTCTTGTGACAGTGTGTTGTTATAAAGCCGGGATGCCCCTCAGGTTTTCTCTTCTTTGCACATATCCACTTCCCCATGGACCTTCTTCACCATGTTGTGACACAGCACAAAAGCCCTTGCTAGAAGCCAAGGCCATTTCTTTGAATTTCTCAGCCTGCAGAACCGTGAGCTAAAGAAACTTCCTTTCTTTATAAATTACCCAGTCTCATATATTCTATCAACACAAAATGGACTAAGACACCCTGGAACTGGGGTTCCAGGAAGCCACAGTTGAAAACGGTGGGAGGAAGAGGAGCAGGGAAGATTAGGTAGCAGAGCAGAGTATGAAGTAAGTGCTGACCAGAGGAGTTCATAGCCAGGGTAGTGACCTTTAGATAACAGAAACATGAGGTCCATTGGTCCTGGTTCCCAGAGATGCTGTATGAACTGGTCTCAGCAGTGGCTCCACTGGATGGTAAACTCCATAAGGGCAGGCATTGTGCCTCTCTCAGTCACTACTCTACCCTCAGATCCTAATGCGCCACCCAGCATGTTGTAGGAGCTCATTAGACATTTGTTGAATGGAAGCATAAAACAAATGGATGGGGAGCACACAATGCCTGGCCCGTTGTGGGTGCCTGATAGATGGTAGCGACATTTTATTCATGGTATTTTATGATGGATTGATTTAGCCATTTGCATATGTGACAGGACATGTCCTTGGAGAGAGTTTATTAATGGGCACTAATGAGGCTTATGAAACACTGAAGTCTATTTAAAGTCTACTAGCATGTGTCCTAAGATGGTGACATTGAAGAAAGTTATAAACCTAATAAAATGAAGTGTAATTGGTCTTAAGTAAGGAGTGAGGGAGGGAATTGGGATGGGCGTGGTGGCTTACGCCTGTAATCTTAGCACGTTGGGAGGCTGAGGCAGGAGGATCACTTGGGCCGAGGAGTTTGAGACCAGCCTGTGCAATATAGCAAGACTGTCTCTACAAAACAATTTAAAAATTAGCCAGGTGTAGTGGTGCATGCCTATGGTCCCAGCTATTCAGGAAGCTGAAGAGAGAGGATTGCTTGAGCCCAGAAGTTCGAGGTTGCAGTAACCGTGATTGTGCCACCGCATTCCAGTTTGGGTAACAGAGCAAGACCCTGTCTCAAAAAAAGAAAGGTGGGGGTGGAATCAGAATAAGGATTTGTAAGTGTTTTGCTTGCACTATTCATGGGAGAAAGACACCTGTGATGGACACAGAACTGTGTCACCGAGATCCCCCTTCAAGGAAGGATTTACTGCCAGCTGCTAAAAGTGCTGTCAGCCAAGAGCCTTCTTCAGCCATCAGTTCCTTCAGGGATTGCCTCAGCTTGAGACAGACATCTCACCCAAGGTCAAGCCCTTCATGGCGTGGCCCAGAGCCAGTGACTTATTGAAGCGGGGATATGAAGGCCTGCCCTTTGGCCCAATGTAGGACAACGGACAGGTCATGTGAATGCCAGAGTCAGCCACTGAGTGAGCAGAAGCTTTGCAACACCTGCATTGCTGCTCTTTTCTCCTCCTATTTTTTTTTTTTTTTTTTTTTTTTGAGATGGAGTCTTGCTGAGTCACCCAGGCTGGAGTACAGTGGTGCAATCTTGGTTTACTGGAACTCTGCCTCCTGGGTTCAGTTCTCATACCTCAGCCTCTCGAGTAGCTGGGACTACAGGTGCACACCACCACATGTGGCTAATTTTTGTATTTTTAGTAGAGATGGGGTTTCGCCATGTTGTCCAGGCTGGTCTTGAACTCCTGACCTCAGGTGATCCGCCTGCCTCGGCCTCCCAAAGTGCTGGGATTGATTACAGGTGTGAGCCACTTTGCCCAGCTGCCTCCTGTCTAATCTTGTTTCCTTCCTTTCTCTTCCACAGGTGTTGATCCTTAGGGCATTCCCTAGTAAACATCCTACACAGTAAACTCCATCTAAGAGTGTGCTTCCTGGGGACTTCAACCTGTGATGACAACTTAATGTAAGGGTCAAAAACTCATATGCCTTCAGGGACCTGACAGATACTATAAGGGAATGAAGCTGGTTAGGTTTGACGCAACAGGGAGTGGTGGGAGGTAAATTGGAGAGACTGTGCTCCATTTAAATTTTTTTTTTTTTTTTGAGACAGAGTCTTGCTCTGTTGCCCAGGCTGGAGTGCTGTGGTGCGATCTCAGCTCGCTGCAACCTCCGCCTCCCGGGTTCAAGCAATTCTCCTCTCTCAGCCTCCCGAGTAGCTGGGACTACAGGTGCCTACCACCACACCCGGCTAATTTTTATATTTTTAGTAGAGATGGGGTTTCATCTTGTTGGTCAGGCTGGTCTCGAACTCCTGACCTCAGGTGATCCAACTGCCTTGGCCTCACAAAGTGCTGGGATTACAGGCATGAGCCACCGTGCCCGGCCCCCTAAATTTTTAAAAATTGACAAACAGCACTGTGTACTCTAGACAATGTATGTGAATTCAATTCAGCCTGCAGCCCTCCTGTTTATGACCTTTGTTTGAGAGGTATATTCTCTCTTCTGTTAATTAACATACCAGGACCTGTCTTGTGAGTTTGGTTAGTGTGAGTAAACCCTTAAAAGTTTCATCAGCGTATGGTGGTGTGGCACTGCTGTGGTTTGAATGTGTCCTTCAAAATTTGTGTGTTGGTCATCGGTGGTGGTGGTGGTGGGGGGGCAGGCATGATGAACTGGTGGCTTTATAGGAGGAAGAGAGACCTAGGATGGCATGCTCTTGCTCTCTTGCCATGTGATGTCCCACAC